TTTTCTTTCAACATACTTATTTTTTCAACATGCGGGGCGATCCCCGCCCTGCTTTCGGGGGCTCCCGCGCAAAGCGGGGCGCCCCGTGGCCAACCCTAAGCGGTGACCAATCAAAAAAAGTTCAATTTTGCTCTCTAAAATACATGAGATTTTTCATTTTCCACGTGGTCGAATAGATATTGACCGCTTGCAAATGGGATATTTGGATGGTACATGTTCAGGGAAAGTGCTGAAATTATAAAACTTTGTTTCCTGGGGATATTTTTGATTGTGAATCGAATGACGTTTACCGTTTTTTGAAATCTCTACTAGTTTTGTCTGTGCGCTCAAAACTTAGGGGGTCGTATAGATATTGACTGTACTATAAGGCCCCAAATCTTAAATTTCTTACACAGTTCAAATTCATGTAAATAATACCAAAATCTATGCGCTTTTCAGGTTTCGGACCACTAAACTTTATTGCGACCTCTTATTTTTTTTTCGGACCTCAATTTTTGGGACCGCTAAAGGGTTCCACTATTTTCCGGCATCTCTAAAAAAACTATTTTTCGAATATTGTCAGAAAAGTCGCCGGAAATCAGTGCAAACGGGAAAAATTATAAAGAATTTTTCCATAGAAAAACGAAGAAAAAAAAAATTAAAATTCATTTTATCTTAAAATATTTCATTCTAGACCAATAATGCAATAGAAAAAGCAAATTGAAAAAAGTGGGATATAAGTGGGAAATTTGAAAAAAAAATGAAGGACGGAGCTCGAGAAACGAGCACTTTGGCATCAATTTCGTTCGATTCGACAGCTTCGAAAAGAGAAAAAAGCCGGATAAACAAATTTTGTTCGTGGTTCTTTTTTGCCAGCGTTTCCAGCATTTTTTGAATTTTTAGTCGATGGAAGAGAGGAGAAGGTACTTGAAATACATGTAAAATAAGAAATCAGTGAATTCTCGAGTGTTGAATATTGTCTCGTGTTTTGAACTACTTCCATTTTTCTTGGTTTTGGGACAAAAATAGCTGAGAAAATCCGTTCGGCCGTTCGGATAAGAAAAATGTGAGAAATGACGAGTTGGATGGGTGAAAAAAAGAAAAAAAATGGAAGAAGTGATGGGTAGTAATCCTCTGTTTTCTTCGGCTGTTCGAAATATTTTTCTGATAGTCAGAAAGAACTAGGTTTAAAAATTGATGAACTGGAAAACATTGGTTTTATTGGTAGTCATGATGGGAAATTTGTATAGAGAGGGGGTCAGAATCTGGAAGGAAATAGAGAAAACAACAAAGTTGGGGTTACAGATTGGCTAGAATTAAAGCAGGTGGAATTTGAAAAAACAAAACAAAAATGAACGCTTATCATTCAAGGCTTTCTTGATTTATAGAGAATAGAGCTGTGAATACTTCCATAGTTCTTAATACAGATTCTGTATAGATTAAATCGGTTTTGTGACACTTTTTCTAATGATCTTATGAACGGAAAAAGTTGAGGTACAGAGTGGCGCATAATTACCCTAACTAAAGTTTGTACTAGCATAAAATTTGAGTAAAGTGTTGTACTGGGCTCAAATTTGGAGCGCAAAAATTCAAAAAAATTCATCAATAAACTGACCAAATTTCGAATCACTTGGTCAACTTGCTTCATCTCATGAAAATCACAAGAAAAAAATTATGATGTTCATCTTTTGACAATCATAACAATACGAAGACTTGGGGAATTCGAAAATTTCAGTAGCTTTGAACATTATATTTCTACCAATTTTTGTGGTTCCAAGATAATTATATCTGATGATATAGTGCGTTCAATAAGGATAGGACCCTCCCCCCTCGATTTCGCGGGTTCCAGAAAAAGTAAGAATGATATGAAAAATCGGTGATTGTCTTCGATTCAGAATACAAAATAACCCCGACTACAAATTTTCATGTCTCTAGCCCTTTCGGAATTCGAGTTATACCCGCATGTCACTTTTGCAACCGTGCAATAAGGATAGGACCACCCTGGAAAATGAAAAAATCTCAAGTGTCTCAGGGTACAAATTTGAACTTTTTTCGTTGGAAATTGTTGCAATGGTCTCAAAATAGCCTACTGAGGGTTGGTATGCTGTCTAGAGCCATTGTTTGCTATTCAAGATGGATTGAACTTTGCAAAATTGACATTGAGTTCGGTGATTCTGATTAAAATCATTACTAGTGGTGATAGAGGGGGGTTCGTGGATGACAAGGGGCGACAAGTCAAGTGGGTTGACAAAGGCGCTCAACCACCAGACGTACCGACACAGGAAATTTGTGCTAAAAATGGGATGATGTCGGTATGGTGGTCTACCAATGAATGGAGTATTGGGAGCTGCCAGATAATAGTGTCACTTTTTTATCGATACCTATCCTCGTCCGGTAACATAACTCAGACTTCATGCGGATCTCCATTGGAGAGAAACACAAAGGTTTATTTTAAAAATTAAAATCCGCAACCTCGTGCGGGAAGGAAGACCCAGGTCGATCTCGGTGGATATGGCTAGACGATTCTGTTTTATTCACGGTATAGCTCTAACCTTCTACTTTTTGATTACCACCTATCCACCCATTTCTAACGTCATCTTGATTGACAAAAATTCACCTCAAAACAGGATATCAAAAATGGGTTGCCTTGATTTTCAACTCGCTGTGGCCGGAGTTCTGGAAGGAAGGCATCCACAATTTAGTGGATCATTGACGGATAGTCATTGATAACAAGGGTCGTTAACTCCAATTTATCCGACATCGTTTTGACATTTTTTACATTGAATGTATCTGACGCTAAAAATGGGAGGAACTTTCCAAACAACCTAATAATTATTTCTAAAACTTGATGAGAGGAATCAATTTTTGTCTAAACTTTCAAAATAGGCTATTTTGAGACTATTGCAACAACTTCCAACGAAAAAAAGTTAAAATTTTTACCCTAAAATACTTGAGATTATTCATTTTCCAGGGTGGTCCTATCCTTATTGAGCGGTTGCAAAAGTGACATACGGGTATAACTCGAGTACCGAAAGTGCTAGAGACATGAAAATTTGTACTCGGGGGTTATTTTGTATTCTAAATCGAATGGTTTTCCCAAATTTTTCATATCATTTTTACTTTTTCCGGGACCCTCAAAATCGAGGGGAGTTCTATCCTTATTGAACGCACTGTAGATCCGTTTTTACCATTCCGGGTAATTGTGTGCCACCCATTTTCAAAAGCGAAAATACAGGAAAAAAGGAATTCCAGAATCTCAGCTAAATTCTTTGTTTTTGCGGAGGGACTAATATTGCTCGGAAAAGCTTTTTGTGACTAGACATACTGAAAGTTTTTTCGAAAAAAGTCAAAAAGAAGAAATTGGAAGAAAGTGAGGGATGATCTAATTTCCTGTTTCTTTTACTCTGCCGTAAGTTCCTTATATGATGAAGGTTGGGAACAGAAGTCAACAAGAAGTTCGATTTTATCAGAACGGATAATCTCTGTAATTTTCCACCAATAGAAGTTGACTAATAACACAGAGAGAAAAGAAAAAAAAGTGGTTGAAGCTTGCAGAAGATTTGAATTGAATAGGGTCATTTTGGGAGAGAAAGGACTCAATGTCGGGCACCCACGACAGACAAAAAACACAGAAAAGAGAGATAGATGAGGCGGTTTTTTTTTGTTCTGACGAAAATGGATTTTTTGTCCTTGGCCGAATAGGAAACTGGAGTCTGAAAACAAAGTAGATCAGCTTCCCTTACAGATTTTCCAAGAATTTTTACCTGTTTTGCAACAAAAAAGAGAAGAGAAATATCTAGTCGTGTGAGCCAGGATAATGTTGTCTTTTTTGATAGATCGGTTTCTATTTAAGTCATGTCCAGTGACACGAAAGAGCAAGTGTGCAAGGTGTAATTATGAATTGTTGATTTTTTTTTCTATAAGCTATTATTGATCAACTTTTCTTTTGTCATATCAACAAATCATTCGATTTAGAATACAAAATAACCCCCGAGTACAAATTTTCATGTCTCTAGCACTTTTGGTACTCGAGTTATACCCGTATGTCACTTTTGCAACCGTTCAATAAGGATAGGACCACCCTGGAAAATGAAAAATCTCAAGTATTTTAGGGTAAAAATTTGAACTTTTTTTTCGTTGGAAATTGTTGCAATAGTCTCAAAATAGCCTATTTTGAAAGTTTAGACAAAAATTGATTCCTCTCATCAAGTTTTAGAAATAATTATTAGGTTGTTTGGAAAGTTCCTCCCATTTTTAGCGTCAGATACATTCAATGTAAAAAATGTCAAAACGATGTCGAATAAATTGGAGTTAACGACCCTTGTTATCAATGACTATCCGTCAATGATCCACTAAATTGTGGATGCCTTCCTTCCAGAACTCCGGCCACAGCGAGTTGAAAATCAAGGCAACCCATTTTTGATATCCTGTTTTGAAGTGAACTTTTGTCAATCAAGATGACGTTAGAAATGGGTGGATAGGTGGTAATCAGAAAGTAGAAGGTTAGAGCTATACCGTGAATAAAACAGAATCGTCTAGCCATATCCACCGAGATCGACCTGGGTCTTCCTTCCCGCACGAGGTTGCGGATTTTAATTTTTAAAATAAACCTTTGTGTTTCTCTCCAATGGAGATCCGCATGAAGTCTGAGTTATGTTACCGGACGAGGATAGGTATCGATAAAAAAAGTGACACTATTATCTGGCAGCTCCCAATACTCCATTCATTGGTAGACCACCATACCGACATCATCCCATTTTTAGCACAAATTTCATGACATAAATTTTCAAATAAGCATTTTTATTCGAGAAAAAGAAAATAGTCAAGAAGAAGGAATTTAAGCTTAGTTTGACCATTTGCAACTGCTGTTAAGCATTGACCTTCCCGAACTTCTTGACATCTTCTTGGTTCTTTGATTTGGTTTCAGATGTTGGTTTCTCCTTGCTGTCAGTCTTTGGCTTATCCTTAACCTCCTCAATTTCTTTGTTGACAACGGCAATCAACTTGTTGATACTCTTAAACTTCTCATCTTGACTTTTCTCCAACTCCGAGTACTGTCTCATATTCAACTGATTGTACCAACTTTTCTTATTCAAACACATCAGCATCTTTTGTTCGTTTGGTCCCATTTTGTAGGCCACATTCAGAGAGTAGTACTTTGTTCCGAGACCATGTACCACGGAAATCAATGATGGCTTTGTGAGATGACCCAGATTGGAAGTAGTTTGTCTGGGTTCGGCTGTTGGAGCCAATGGATGAATATGAAGGTTGAGAGGGCTCACTGATCTGAACGCATCCAACATAACTTTTCCCTTCACACTCCGAATCGGATCCCACGACGACAGCCATAGCCCGTGGGTGAAGAGCTTCAAAAGATTGTTGAGTGTTGACGTCGACAGAAGACAACCAACATCCAAATCCTGGATGAAAGTGGTAACCAAAATGTAAATGTAATTCGGGGGCAATAAACTTTTGACTTACCATCCAACAACATTTTCAGTTCTACCAACTAATTTCAGCAAATCTATATGCTTCGTCTGGTAAACAGGGTCCACAGACTCCACAGTCACACTTGTTCCACTCTGAGGCATCGCAAAGACATCCAGAACGTTGATAGTATAGTCATCAACGAATTCTCCAAGCAT